CATAAATGATCGTGGTGAAGATGATGATTAAATTAGGATTAAAAATCGAGAGCCGGGCTGCATTTCCTCCTGTTCGTTTTTTTTCGTACTAAACAACATTATTTTGTTAAATAACAACATGGTGATGTTTTGTAAATGATTACAAGTCTCTTATTTAGCACAGAGTATGATATCCGTGACATATGGATCTTAACAAAGTTCCGCTGTACATCCAGCGTACTGTATCTCACTTTATTTCACATGAGCTCCAGTGTGGAACCCCACTGCAAACCCTGGTGGATCAATGATCCATTGCAGCTGGCTTCATTATAATTAAATTTATNGTACCGAAGTGGGCCGGTCGAGAGTCCCGGGCTGATTTTTAGTCCCAGTCCACCACTGGCTACATGACCGTATGATCGCCCATATTGACGCACCTAATTCCTAAACTTCTAACAGATACAAAATAAACCGATCCTTCAGCCTCATATGAGCTCTCAGACACGTTCAAAATTAAACTGTCATCGCTGTCTGAGCTTGCTGCTGCGTGCGCCATCGTGCGTTTACATGCAGATGCTGGGATCCTGAACGGTGCAGCTGGAGCGCTGTGCCCGCATTGACGTCACCCATAATTTGGCGGGATTTGAAGAATCCCCGAGAAGATCCAGGAAATGGTCAACATTGAAGGGCAGATTAATAGTTATCAAAGTACAAATATCCAAAATCAGTTCAGTAACGGTTTTCAAGGGGACAATATTTACTCAAATTGATGGGTTTGGATGATGGGGGAAAATCGTGTCACAGGCTCTTCAATGCAGCTGAATGGAATCATTGGAACTTTTGAACTGCAGAGCAATGAAGGTTAAACAAAATGAAGTCACCTGGCAATGATCATGGTCCAGTTGTACATGACTGGTAGTGTGATTACGAGCAGCCAGTTGTAATACAGATTTCCTGCAGGATTAAGGATAAATATTTCTTTCGGCCTATAAAAAGAAAGAAAGGAAGTGTTAATTAACTATCTGAAAAATGTGCTTAAATTAAGTTGCTCTGAATTATGTACTTACTTATCTTTGTCCTTTTCCTTTTGTCTTTCCTTCTCCTTTTCCCTCTCTTCCTTTTCCTTTGCCTCCTTTTCTTCCCTCTCCTTTGCCTCCTTTTCTTCCCTCTCCTTTGCCTCATTTTCTTCCCTCTCCTTTGCCTCCTTTTCTTCCCTCTCCTTCTTCTCCATACTGCAACACACATTATTACATTGGAGAAAAATGTCAACTATTCAGTTAAAACAAAAGACTTTGCAACATAACCAAATTACTCTTTTTTTCTTCCTTTCCTTTTTTCAATTCTCCCTGGAAAAGGATTAATTAAGACATTTAATAGGCCTGAAATTAATTTTTAGACACATCAAAGACAAACTGTATTTTACAAGGGCTCCACTTTATCTGTTCGTGACACTATAATCGTACTTACTCTTCATTGTTATTGCTGTTATTCATATTGAGCAGATACGATTCAGCTGAACTCCTGGAAGAAACACAGCATGTCACACATAAAGTTAATTAAACTGTCTTTCTTTCTCATTTATGTAGTGTAAGCTCTTTGTTTGAAGAATGCAAACGTGTCCTCTGCTTACAGGTCATCATCGCTGGACCCTTCACTGTCTGTGGAGAGTTGTATTGCAGCGAGTGTGGGCACAGTTATGTGGGGAAGGCTGGAGGTCATGGCAGCAGATCTACAGTTTACAGTGGAACAAATACATCTTATTGGTCCATCCCAGCATAATGATAAGCATAAAATACCTTAAAATTATGAACAAGTTGAACTATTAGTCCATTATTAGAATGTTTTATTAACTGAAAAAGATTCAGAAAACATTTAGATGATTTTAATCAAAGTTTTAAAGCAAGGATTGTCAATTAAAAAAAATCCATACTACCAACATCTGAAATGTAAATATTTGGTGGTTTTGTTATTCACCTATATTAAAGTGACAACATTGGGCAAAACAAGACATTTGAGGAAGTCACCTTGATTTATAGACCCAATGATATGGAAACAATCTGCAGAATGAATGTCCAGATTTGATTCACTGTTAGATTTAGATGTTTGAAAATGTGACACTTGCAGTAACAATGTGTTTTCAGTTGCAGCAGAAATAAGAATTCAATCAAACTACTAAAAAGCACTCTTCCGTCTTCCAATGGTAATACAGAAAATAATCAAATCAAATCAACATGTTATGCAGTGTGTTGTAATCCTTTGGTATGAAATACTGCTAAATGTGAGCAATGTTAAAAGAACCACACATCATTAAAGTTGAAGTGAATGTCCCTGTTTGCATTTGCAGTCCCAAACCACAGTCTGCCTAAAAACTTTAAGATGTCACCTAATATCTCTATCATTTTAATCAACTTACCTTTTTGTTAATGTAATGAAACATCCATTTCCTTTATATCCTTTTGCAGTTTTTGAAAGACCTGGAAACTGGCCACTTACAGCAGCAGCTCTTTTATTTTATTTATCATCAGATGCTGATTAAAATAGTATCGATATGTAGCGGGACCAGTGACACCTATAAGCACTAAGTTTAACTAACTGTGTCATAGAGTCTCAGTGTCCCTGATAAGGATTTGTGGATTAGAGTAGGCTGAGAAGAGAGAGGCGAAGTCACTCTTCCTTACACTTCCCTCCAGTGGGAGATGAGATTAAATGAAGTGTGGACAACCCTCAGTTAACCTGTTGGTAATATACACTGATAACCATTTTATCTAAAGACTCCTTTAACAGACAATCTGAGACAGGCTATAATTTTTCTGACCTTAGTGGAAAGGATTGCGCACGCAAACACACACACACACACACACACACACACACACACACACACACACACACACACACACACACACACACACACACACACACACACACACACACACACACACACACACACACACACACACACACACACACACACACACACACCAACTCTCTCTCTCTCAAACACAGGCACACACACACACACACACACACACACACACACACACACACACACACACAAGCACACAATACAGCGTCTCCTGCTCAGTCAGCACCCTTAGCTTTGATCCTATTAGATTGTGCCGGGTATTACTGACTTCAGATCAGGTCGATCAGGTTCCTTTTACATTGATAACAATCATGAGAGTGATATTAAATGTGAACCTCTATCAGTGTTCAGTGCTTCAGCATTATAACAACAGTTCCTCCTCCCCTGCTGCAGACTATCGACATCCTGCGGTTCAGTGGCACTCCCTGTAGGCTGATGTGGTACATGGATCGCAGCTACTTTATTAAATTAAAAAGCATTTCTGGAAGTTTAATCTTTTTATTAATAATTATCCGACTATAGGTTATGATTGCATAATGTTCTTGATGTGTGTGTTTGTGGCAATGGGGGGGAGAAAGAACAAATTAATGGACCACATTGAGATACTGTATTTTTTATGGAAATGTTGGCTTTTTATTTGAAACATAGTTGGTTTTATAGCAAACTTTTAACAGATGTCACTGTCAGCAGAGGTGTAAAAAATAACATTCAAGATTGCTGCGTTCTATTCAGCTCCTTCAGCTTCAGATTCCTGGTGAAGTCTATGCTGAACTACTGCCGTAGCTTGGACAAAACCAACATTAATGTCATTACTAACACATTTTCCTATACTGTGAACAGTCAAAATGTCTGTTGTGAAAAGCCATAAACGTACATCACAGAGTTTATCAAAGACATTACAACAAATATTTTGATTCAAGACAAAAGGAAGAGGATAACAAATTCTGAACAAAAAGCACTCTCTCCTCTTCTCTATTCAATATACCACAGCTTGTCATCCTTTAGCGCTGCTTTAACTTCTCATTGCCGCTTTTAGCTATCGCTTTAACTGCTAACAGAGGAGCACTTAGGCTGGTTATAAGAAATATGACTACACTAAAGCAGGATCTGCTGCCACTCCAGTTGTTTCAGTCTCAGCTGCTAGGGGGGCATCAGCAGCACCAGCATCAGCAGCAGAAGGGACATCAGCAGCAGCGGGGACATCAGCAGCAGCGGGGACAGGTGCATCCACAGCAACCTCTGGGGCTGAAGGGGCAACTTCAGCAGGAACCACATCAACAGGAACCAAATCAACAGGAACCACATCAACAGGAACCACATCAACAGGAACCACATCAACAGGAGGCACATCAACGACAACAGCAGCATCCACCGTGGCAGCATCTACAGGGACGTCCACCACAGCTGGCTCCACAGCTGCTTCAGGATCTGCTGCAGGCTCTTCTGGTGCCACTTCAACAGCTGGCTCAGCCTCGGCTGCTTCCACCTCCTCGGCCTCCTCGGCCTCCTCTTCTTCATCAGAGTTTAGGGGGGCACCACCGGCTGCTGCAGCTTTGGGTGCAGCACCTTCATCCTGTGCCGAAGATAAAGACAGAACTTAGTGTTGTCTAGTTAAAGTGTTCACTGAGAGCAATATGATTCTCCAAAGAAAGGGGACACTGCAGTGGTGCAAATGATAGAAATTCAACTATTGGTCGCTTTTGCTGAATTATCTGGGAATATCTGACAGCTTTACGTTCGATTCAGCCTCAGATCGAGAGTATTGGAATTATGCATGCTGGTAGTTACACTCTTGTTAATCTAATTATGTTAAATTGAAGATATCTGCTGTGAATATATGAGTGGCAAATAGTGGGTCTTTGTTCAGGCAGAACTCCAAACTGAAATTCAGTCTCTGCTTTTGTATTACTCTGATAATGCTCTCTTTGGCTGTTTTGACCATTTCCACATGTGGCACCCATCTCTTTATGTGGGTGTTTTTTTTTTTCATGCAAGGCTAATCCTTACTTTTCTGAGCTTGTTGTGTTTGGCCCCTTCAGCAGGAGGACCATTTGTGTTATTCATGCCAGCACAGATGTCTACATTTGCAGTGCATTTCTAATAAGCAAACAATATTTCAGTTTATTGAGGTATAAAGACGTCTGCTCACCTCGTTCTCCTCCTCCGATGCATCTGCAGCAATAACAGGAGCAGCCTATAAATACAAACACTATTAACTCAAAGAGCACTATGAAGTGTTTCAGATCAGATGCTGCCATGCTTTATGAGCTTACCACTGCTGCCCCAGCTGGATCAGCCTAAACAGAGGAATAATTCATTAATAGGTCGTAATCAGTAACAATGCCAGTCACATTTATTTTTTAAGTTTTTATTTAAATCTAAAACTAAAGTCATGTAAGATTCTTACAATATATACACTTACAGGAGCATCAGCAGCAGGCAGGAAGGGGTTTCCAACTACTCCCTGAAAAAAGAAAGGTTTATGATTATAGATAATGATTTATGTCAAACTATCTTAATTGATGAGGATTTATATTACTTTCTTATTTGTATTTGTTTGTCTGTAATACTATATTGAACCCCAACTACCTGCTGCTGGTACATCCTGTACATCTCCATCCACCTCAGGGCCTCATTAGCATGTGCTGCTACCTGCTGAGAAAATACCAGACATCTCCAGACATGCTCTGCTATTAAGTCAATCATCCTCTCTCGGTCAGACACTTATCCTACTCTACATTTGATGACATGACTAAAACATGGTAGGACATGCCATGGCAGACAGACACATAATCCTCACAGAAAAGCAACACTACTTACTTTTTCCTCATTGCTTTCACTCTCTGCCACCTGCAAATCAAAGAAGAGAAAAGAGGAAGTGACTATGACAATTTACTCTAAAGCAAAGCAGTGTTTAACATTTTAAAAAGGGATCCGTTGTCAGACTTAATTACACATTTAGGCTATATTTAGGAAAGACTTACAGGAGCAGCCAAGGTAGTGGCCAGCAGGCACATCATGAACACCACTATCTTCATCATGGTTGTTTCTGAAAAATAAATCATATCATGATACATAGAACAATAATTGTATTTTGCTTAATGAGAAACAAATAGTTCTGAATTCAAATGAACGAAAAGGTAATTGGCTTCAAGTCCTGTAAGATTACTGGAACTATGTTTCTATAACACTGTATCAAATTGCCGTAATGAAAAGTCTATCTCACCTTTTTCCTTGGTTCAGAGAGAAATGATAGATGTGTCTCCTCAGGTAAGGAAAGTAATCTACTTCATCGCTAACTTGGATCCCATTTATAGACTGGAACGTCCCGTGAGAGCCAATCATATCCAGTAAAACACACTGAGCTATATCTTTGAAGAAATCTTCTACTGTAACACTTTGAACAAAAAGAGGCATGTAGGGTTAAGGCCCCACTTTTAGTTAATTACATGCTGTGCAAGTATGCTTAACGCACATGCCCCCTGTCTTTATTGCCTAAAACCAAACGAAAAAAGACAGCTGACATAAGCACGAAATGATAATGACTGAGAGACACCACTTGGTTTGAGTTGTAAATATTTCAACAAAGTTAAAAAAAGAATTAGGGAATTACTCATCTAAATTTACCTCACAATTATAGTAACAAATGTTACATCGAAAAAAATATAATAGCAAAACGTCTTTGCTTGCACCACGTGGTGTAGTTGTATCCCTTGTCAGGTTTCAGAAGTCTATGATTTTTCCCCCAGTAAACCTACACAAAAAAAGACAAGATTGAAGGATTGGCTGTACAATGAATACAGATGTGTTTATTACAACTTGTATTGGTCTTCTTTCATATCCAATGAATCATCTCACAACCTCCCAAATGCCTATTTTGACCCTTTGAATGTGAAAACCCCTGTAGCTTTTAGGTACAAAGACTCAAACAGCTACAAAAGTAAAATATTGTGTACACTTAATTGCATCACGATAAACTTATTTGCTTTTCACAATTTTGAAACAGGAATTTAGCCTGTGGTGTGTGTGTGTGTGTGTGTGTGTCTGCCCTGCCTGCCTGCTTGCCTGCCTGCCTGCCTGCCTGCCTGCCTGCCTGCCTGCCTGCCTGCCTGCCTGCCTGCCTGCCTGCCTGCCTGCTTACCTACCTACCTACCTACCTATCTACAATCTATCTGTCTGTCTGTCTGTCTGTCTGTCCATCCATCCATCTATCTATCTATCTATATATCTATCTATCTACCTATCTATCTATCAATCTATCTATCTATCCATCTATCTATCTACCTATCCATCTATCCATCTATCTATCCA